CCCTGGTATTTCGAATCATTTGTATCATTTTATACTGTCTCTTATACACATCTAGATGTGTATAAGAGACAGGAGAGAGAGAGAGAGAGAGAGAGAGAGCGCTATTGAACTGCGCACCGCAGGCAGCGTGGCTGATGTGTGACAACTCTTGTCAATGCTTTGGATGTCCGTCTTAGTCTTTCATCTGCGAACTTGAACTCTCTGGAGGAAGAGACTTCATCGATTTCATCGTCCGCTGCAGGTGGCCGATGCACAGGCGGCGCCGGTCGACTTTGCCGATGCTTACTACGCGATTTTTTGCCTTTTGATTCCCGAGTGGGGTTATCTCTAATAACCGGGTCTTCCGAAAAATGGACAGTTGGTGGTTTCCCCCTTGCAGACTCCGCCGCAGCTTTCAACATTTCTAGCTCGTCCTCCACGACCAACTTTTCTGACTCTGCTTGCTCTGCCCTCTTCACCGCCTCCCTCTCCCTCTCTTCCAGTTCTCGCATGTGCTTTTTTAGGGAGGCGAGCTCTTCCGTGGCCTCCTTGGCTTTCATGGCCTCTTCCTCTGCCCTCTCCATGAGAGTGTCAAATTGCATTTTTAGACCTCGCAATTGCCCCTGAAGCAGGCTGAGCTCCTCTTTGAGCGTGCGTGCCTGCGACTCCGCTGCCTGCACTCGTGTTTTCATCTCCCTCACCCTGGCCTCAGCCCGTTGTTCTGCCTCGCGGCTCCTCAGCGTCGTGATTTCCATTTCCTCCCTTGCCATTTTCGCTAACGCACTCACTTCCTCGGCTTCGGCAGTCCCTGCCTGGTACCTCTTGCGTTCTTCCATCGTCTCCTTCTTCATGGCTTCGAACGTAGCGACAGCTTTGGCCTCCGACTGCCTGCACGCAACGACCTCTCTCTGCGCTGCGGAAACTCTGGCCTCTGCCTCCTCGATAGCAGCCGCAAGCCTCATCTCCGACTCCTTCAACGTGGCCTTCATGCGGCTCTCCGCCGCTCCAGCCATGGCCTTTGCTCTTGCCTCCGCCACTCGTGCGATCCTAGCCTCAGTCTCTGCCCGCTCTGCCCTCGCCTCCGACTCCGCTCTCGCCTGCTGTGCAAGGTCAAGCTTGGCCTCAAGCTCATCAACCACCTGTTTTCTTCCCTCGCCCGTCCCCTTCACTGCCGCTTTGGCCCTTTTAACTTCCTCCACCTCTCTCTGCAACCTTCTTTCCCTCTCCTCGGCCCCCCGAACCTCCCCCTGCAACCGTTCGATCTCTGCCTGAAGACTCTTCACCCTCTTTTCTGCCAACGAAGTGTCCTCCCTTGCCTCAATCAAATCCACCCGCAAGCTGCTCGCCCCTTCCGATGCCTCCCTTCGCTGGTCCGTGACGTCCTTTAACGCCTGACGCAGCTTCGCCACTCCCTCAACTGCCGCTTTGTGTTGCTCTTTCAGTGTGTCCAGCTCAGTCTGCAACACCCTAGACTCATCCCGAGCTGCGCGGAGTTCGTCCCGTGCCTCCTCCAGCACGCGCTGCTGACTGCGGATCTTCTCCACAGCCTCTCGGTACTGCCGGTTCGCGTTCTCCAGTGCCGCCTCCCACCGAAGCGTCCTTTCCTCGTCCCCTCGCATCTGAGAATCCATCTCCTCAGTAAGCATCCGCTTGTACTCCTCGGCAAGGCGGTATGCTTCTTCCTTGGCTTGCCGCGTGGACTCGAGCGATTCCACAGTGGCTTCAAACCTCTTTGTAATGCCCTCAACTTCCCTCCTCAGACGATCAATCTCAGCCTGAAGCTTCCTGTTGTACAATTTGGATTTGTGAAGTGCAGCCTCTGTGCTCTCCAGCCCTCTGGATTTCTCTTCCACTGCTCTCCTCACTAGCTCCATGCTCTTGTCCATAGCCGCCTTGGCAGACGTCGCATCGTTTGCTGCAGACACCAGATAATAGCGCTGCGTTTTTGCACCTTCAAGGTCTTTTGTGCAGTGCGCAAGTTCGTTCTTCATCTTGGCCAGCTGATCGTTGGCATGCTTCAGCTCCGATTCCACCTCCTCCACTCTCTACACCACCACCACAAGGTGTCACAAAAAAACGACCCAATCAATCAATCAATCAATCAATCATCGTCCATAGTCAACATAACATCTGGTCAGCAAACACAAGTGATGCTCATAGAGAGACGATCCCCACTCTTGGTCTTGTTTGCTCACTGACGTCAGGCCCGAATGCCATAGGATCCAGATCGTCTTTTTTTTTTGGGGGGGGGCCTTAGGATCTGAAACCGCATGCAGCTTGCACTCGTGCACTTTTTGTAGCACTTGCCCAAGACTTGATTCTCTCCGAAATTCTGTCATTTTTTGTCTGATAGTGCCCAGAGTTCTGAGTCTGACTCTGTTTTGAGAAGTTGTTCTCCGAGTCCGTGTGTCTTCCTTCTGATGGTGTCTGTCTGTATGTCTGTGTACTTGTCCATTCTCCGAGTCCGTGTGTCCTTCTGAGTCTAAGTCTGTGTTGCCTGTGCTGTGCTTCTGTACCTCAGACAGACAGGGGTAGGCCTGCAAATAGGTGTCGATGAAGACACAGTGGGCTGAAATCTGGCTACAGTCGGACTTGCCGGAAATTTCACAGCGAGTCCAGGGAGACAAGTAGAATTTCGTAGGGGTTTTCCAACGACTCCGACAGGCGCTAGAGTCCGACTTACCCAAATTGCGCTCTGCGCTGAACATCTTGGCCAGACAGGCGATACAGTCTTCCCCCCGAATACAACGTACGGTCAGTATAGTAGCTGAATTTGGTGTATCTTTCAGTCTAAATTCAGCTAGAATGACTGTACGTTGTATTCGGGGGAAGACAGTAGAGTCCTCCGGTTGGATAGCAGTTAGGTAAGGAGTCTAATGATGCCACCAAGGGCCAAGTCCCACTTACCCAAATTGTTTTTCAAATTTTGGACGGTAGATTTCTGACAGTAGATTACGAAGATCGACGGTCCGAAATGAAGAATCACCGTAAGTGGGGATTGGTCCCAGGACTGTATTATGGTACCCATCCCCATGAAATATATATTGAGACATGGCCGATGAAAAAGAAAGAAGAAGAAGAAGAAGAAGGGAACAAAAAAAGACACTGCTGACGAGGCCTTGAGACTGGACTGGCAGAAACTTTAGCAATCAGGAAGCCCAGCAAAAAGATGCAGACGGCCATTACTCCTGTGGTCCATGGCAGGGGAAGCTGTAGCAGAAAGGTGGGTTCGGCAGTGGGTTATGGGCCCGACCTAGGGCCGCTCAGATGATTGCACCAGTGCAAATGACAGGGGTGGCAATGGGGAAAGAAAAGGAAAATGAAAAAAAAAAGGAATGACAACGAGAAAAAAGCTAGGCTACCAGCCGGGCCGCCCGGGTCACCGGGCGGTCAGGCCGTGCAAGGACCAGGGAAGGTCCCAGCCCCCCCCCAAAAAAAAAAAAAAAAAAACC